AAAAAAATTGAACGTTGATTTATGTAAGAGTTGAGCTTAAGTTAAAATTTTCCTATCAGAAAATTTAAAATTCTAATTTTATTTACGCAAAATTGAAAAAAATGCTGCATTTAAATCTAGAAGTTAAGCAGGCTTTTCTTTTATAGCACTCATATTTTAAATTTTGTACAAATAAAATTGAGCAAATTATTCATTAAAATGTACAGGGTATTTGGTGATTAAGCAAGTTTTAGTTGTGTTTTCATAGCTGTCGTTAATTTTGTGGCCTTTCTTGTTGCCGTAGCTGTATCTGTAGCTGTAGCTGTTGCTGTTGGTGGTGCTGGTGGTGGTGCTGGTGGTGTTGGTGGTGGTGCTGCTGCTGAGGTTATTGCTAGCAATGTGTCTGGGCCTTTGAGGGCCATTGACACGGAATGCTGTTGGAGCTGCCTGGCTTACGCACTGGCCAGCGCTGCGCCTGGCATCTGCCGAGCCATAAACTCTGTGCCCATAGCAACTGAAATTAACCATAAACGAATGCAAAAGCAGCAACTCGATGGAGATGCGTAGCATCAAGTCATGTGCAACCAGAAGGCATCCAGCACTCGGGCATTCTTCGGTAGTTCGCTCGGGCCACTAAGACTAAGAGAAGCTCTGATGAATGAGGAGATCTATATATGGGCATGATCTATGATTTATTGATGTTGTTGATATTACTTTGTTTTTGTACCGGAGTATTTTAATATCGCGAGCATGTGGATAATGAGAAGTCAAGCAACGGGCTCTTATAATAGGCAGAAGGAGGCGTGGTTAACTCTATGTAGTATCTATAGAGTTTTGATGAGGATGGCACGTAAGTGACTCTAGTATTATCTGGCCGTTCGTCTCCCATATCTTTCGTCCGTCCGCCCATTCGTCCGGTCGTACAACTTATTGTCCTTGTCCTTTCGTTCGTCTGTCCGTCCTTTCGTCTGTCCGAAACTCTTGACGCTTTCTCAGTAAATTAGAGCAGCTTAAAGGGTATTCCCAGGTGAGCAGCTAATATACCCGCTTGCACATTGCGGACGAGTATATGCAGATGCATGCAAATTCAAGAGAAATGCTGCTTTCTGCCGAACAGAAGCTGATATCTATTTCGTCTATTGCGTCTGCTTCATTACCGATGAGTTGATTTGGTAAAGGAGCTAGCCCAAGGCTCGATCCCATTAGTGCTAGACCTGGCTATAAAGCGATGCAGCTTGCAGCTTGCATGTTGCACGTTGCATGCTGATTGACAGGGCGACTCATTAATAAGTCGGCGCTGCTGCTGGTGGTGCGGATGCGGGTGGCGCTGTTGGTGCTGGTGGTGCTGCCGTGTGTCATAATCGCGACAGAGCAGAAGTCGAGCTGGATAACCAGGCGGCGGCTAAGCCAGCCCGCTCGACCGCAGCCACGCACGTCCATTCGCATTGTGAGATTTATGGTTTGTTCAAGTTCTTGTGGCCTCTGGGTCAGACAGTGCTCGTCGGTTTGGGTGGAAATTGTTATATCTGGCGCTTCGCTCTCAATTCGGTTGGCTGTCAAAAACTGGCAGCGCACACACGCACACACGCACACACTGGACTGAAGGAGCGATTGCCACCTCAAGCATGGGCGCTGCTGGGTTTGACTTTTCTCTGTCTAATGATAGGAAATATGCCATGCGTAGCTCTGACAGCGGATGCGGTTGGGCGAGGGGCGCAAAGGGGAGGGGAGGGTAAGCAGCTTATTACTGCTGCGCGTTGCCAGGGCTACCGATCACAATCGTATTTAGCTAGTTTCCCCATGTTCCAAAAGCTAATTTGCTTCTATGCAAAGTGTGTGGCGGCATGAACGGGCACGTATTTCGATTCCTTTTCAAATCTATCCACACACACTCCATAGCAATAAACGCCTCCCCGCCCCAGAAGCTAGATGCCCTTTGCCGTTAGCTTTGGCTGTCAGCGCTTCGTTTGACACGTGAAATAGTTACAGAGGGTGGCGGGAGAGACAGAGAGAGAGAGAGAGAGAGAGAGAGAGAGGGGCTCAGCGTGGAATATAACGAGAGAGATATAAGATAGAGATATAAGTGTGTAGAGACAAAGAGTGTGAGAGGGGCGGAGGGATAGGGAAAGAGAAAGAGAGGGAGAGAGAGAGAGAGAGAGAGAGAGAGAAAGTGAGAAGGAGGAAGAGTTCGTAAGAAAGAAAAATATCCAGTGATAGGGAGAAAGAAATAGATAGAGAAGGAGAGTGACAGAGAGAGAGACGGAGGTAATGAGAGAGAGAGAGAGAGAGAGAGAGAGAGAAAGAGAGCAAGAGAAAAAGAGAAATGATGGAGACAGAGAGTGAAATGGAAAGTGAATGGAGTTAGATAGAGGGGAATGGAGAGAGAGAAAAAAAAAAGAGTGAGAGCTAGAGAGACAAGAAAGAGAGAAAAAGCAAGAGAGAGAGAGAGAGAATAAAACATGGAGAAAGATAGGTAGATAGACAGAAAGATATAGGACAGATCTAGAGTGAGAGAGAGGTTAGAACAATGGGAAAGCGAAACAAACAGTGGAGGTAGAGAAAGAGATCAAGAGACTGCAATAGACAGGAGAGATACAATGAAGTAAAGAAAGAATTGAGTTGTATACTAAGTAAAATATAGAGAAAGGGAGCCACGAAGGTGGAAATATGGAGAGAAAGAGTGAGAGAGAGAGAGAGAGAGAGAGAGAGAAAAGAAAAGGTACAGTTGTATATACTACGTATAAAAGGAAAGTATTTGAGATCTCCAACGAAGAAGTACTGAGAGCCCTATTATTTAAGGAAGCGTTCATTAATATCGCACAAAATGAATTAGAAATAGTATGTGGTAATAATATCTTCACTCCTGAAACGCCTGGAAATGGCAAGGAACTGTTGCTGCTAGGCTTTATCATGAATGTCGGAATTCAAGGGGATCCTGAGAAATGCAGGGAAGTCGTCCATTTACATACTTTGGGTATTCGGTTTCTATATTCCATTTTCGCATTTGCTGTGCATTGCTCTCAGAGCTTTGCTTATGCATTTCTCCGACAATTGGCTGGCATTTTCGGTATGCGAGCTAATTGCAATGCGTGCCGCATGACTTTCTGCCATGGCCGTTTATTTATGCTGCATGCAACAATTGAATATCGGAAAAGCACATAATAGAAAATTCTTGTAAATTATCACGCACTCGCCTTGCACATGGCCACTCGGCCGGCCATTGTTCTGGGCCACGTTTGCTGCCCACATTCAATTGTCAGTATTGTTTCGACTCCGGCTGAAATCAATTTGCTCTCCATGAGCGTGCAAATTCTGTTACATATACGTATACATATACATATGCGAAATTTAATTAACTTTGTGAGCAGCGAAAACGTTTTTGTACATTTCCAAACGAATATGAATTCATACACGGTGCGGCATCATTCTCTATGAACCACTTTGTTTCGCTCCATCTCCATAAACTGCAGCTCAAGCTAA